ATGGGTTAGATTCTGATCTGCTGTAATCTAAGCTCTTCAATGTTGAGAAGAAAGTTTGGGACAATTTTACATAACAATGATAATAGAACAAGAACAATTGCTAGAAGACCGGTGAACAGAAAAAAAAAGTTTTGTGTACTCAAGTTCTTAATGAATGTAAACAAAAAATATATATCATTTGGAAAGAGCTATGAATATATTAGTTCTCCTTTTATTCCAGTTGCAAATTATATTTAACCTATTGATACCAATAAAAACAAAAGATTACTGCCTGGCCAGCATGACTCAGTGGTTAAGCATAAACCTATGAACCAAGAGGTCACAGTTGAATTCCTGGTCGGCGCATGTGCTTGGGTTGTGGGCTTGATCTCCAATGTGGGGCTTGCAGGAGGCAGCCAATCAATGATTCTCTCTCATCATTGATGTTTCTATCTCTCCTTCTCCTTTCCTCTCTGAAACCAATAAAAAAATATATATTAAAAAAAAAAAAGATTACTGATTGCTCATTCCTGATCCTCAAAAGGAGTTTGGTGGGAGGGGAGTTTAGTGTCATGCTGTGCAATTGGCAATGTTTCACTTGGGTTTGTTTGTTTTTTATAGAACTAATACTTATAACTTTCACTGGGTTAAGAATCATTTATGGCCCTCTCCATTCTCAACTAACTTGATTTGTAACAGTGGTTAAGGCAACAAGCTTTTGCATCAGTGTGGTTTGATTCCCTTAGGATGTTAATATTTATTGAGGATCTCCTAGGTCTGCTAAGCACCAGAGAAACAGCAACAAACAAAAGAGACAAGGTTCCTGTTCTGGTGAAGCTACATTCTGCTATGGAGAGAGATGTTTTAAAAATAAACTAAACAGATAAAGAAACAAAATAGCATCAGATAAATAAATGAATTTAGTAGGATTGAAGGTAGTAGCTACTTTATTTTTTATTTATTTTACATACATGTTTATTGATTTCAGAGAGGAAGGGAGAGGGAGAGATAGAAGCATCAATGATAAGAGATAATCATTGATTGGCTGCCTCCTGCAGTCCCCACACTGGGGACAGAGCCCCAACAGGGAATCTATTCGTGACCTTCTGGGTCAAGGCACAACTACGGAGCCATGCCAGCCGGGTGGTTGGTTGCTGCTTTAGATAAAGAATCAGAAATGGCTTCTTGGAGGAAGTGGCATTTGAACTAGTACCTGAATGAAGAAAGGAAACCTAACCTGTAATACAAGATTCCAGCTTCCTGCAGTTTCTGTATTAGTAAAATAAGGAACAGGGCTGCTTTGATGATGAAATGTGTGAGTGAATGGAAAGCACTTAACACTGACTGAATAAGTATGTGAAGCCTACTGAGCATCTTTCTGGATAGCTGTCCTCAAGACATCAAAGCCTAGAGCAGGGTTAGATTTTAATATGGTTAACAGCAAAGCAAGTTACAGAATCACTTCCTATATGAGATTTAACTTATTCTCTAATGTCTAGCTGTCATCTCACAATCAGATCCATCCCTTTGGATTGTTCCATACCTAATGAGCTGTAAAGATAGTTATTGTCACTATCCATCTACCTCTGAATTAGCTGGGCAAACATCATGATAATGTTCAGATGACCAAATCCACATTTAATGTATCTGAAGATCTGGACCTGCATTAACATAATACTGTGCATTTTAAGATATTTTAAAATTAGCAATTTAACAGAAGTCCCCAGAGGCTGTGGCCTTTTTTTGCTGATGCTACTAGTTAGGTTACACAGCTAATTCCATCAGAGCCATTGAACCAAGTGTTAGTGTGCGTGAAGAGAGTCCATGAGTCAATTGCCAGCACAGAATTCTTTTTGACATAGGAAGGCAGATGATCTCAACTTTTGAGTGCATACAGTGCAGCTTTCTAGTTGAATGATTCTTGACAATAGTGTCCTCTGAAACATAATGCCTGGCCAGGAGCCAATGATTCTGCCACCAAACAAATCACTGTGCATCTGACGCCAGAACGCCTCTGTGCGATGGTAACAAGAGTTCTCAGTCCTGGTGTTCCACAAGATGTTGCACTGGCTTTTTTATTCTTTGTCAGACCCTGGAATTAAAAATTTTATTTAGATTGTTTCCAGAAAATAAGTGCTGGTGGAGGGAGAGGAAAAGAGAGAGCAGGAGACCTTAGTGTAGTGTGAGAAATAGCTTTGCTATTTCATGATTCCCATTAGGACAAAATCATCCTATGTTTTGAAACTCAGTTTTATTAATTGTTTAATAGATATTGTCACTTTAAATCTCATTTAATTTCTAGAACTGAAACAGCTTGGTTCAAACTGTTAGCTAATGATCCATATATCATTTTAGTAGTTGCTAGTTACATTCAGAAATGCATTAATTTTGAAAGAATTATAGATTTTCAAATGTGGAAACAGGGAGTATTTTTAGATTAATAAATTAAAAAACAAATTTGTTTCAAATGTTATTTTACTATAACATATTATAAATCTAAAATTAGTAGAACATTCTTAAAATATTATGATTCTTCATTTAATTCGACTTTAATTTTCTTTTTAAGATTAAAAGTAGACAGATCATAGTGTATAAGTGCAATTGGTGATGTAAATGTTATCTAAGTTATGCAGTGTTCTTTTTGAAAAGAAATATGCACCAGTTAAAATATTTAGCCAAATTTCATCTCCAATTTTAAAACTACTCACTGATTTAAAATTGCAGCTCTTTTTCTGGAAATAACTCTTTAGAACATTTTCACATTTCACATTAAATAAAGAGAGCTAAGCATCTTATTTGATAGGAATATCTTTCCCAATGAAACTAAACTTGCCAGTGTTTCTTCAGTTGCTTTTCACTTAGCAAAACATTCTCTTTTCTTATGAACTAAATATAGCTATTAACCTACTATAAAAATTGCAAGAGTCTCTTTTAAATATGGCTAGAAACCCAAAAAGAAAATATTGCATAAAAAAAGATCATTGAAAAGGTTTCTTGTGGTTTGAAATGTCTCCCAAATATTCATTAAACATTTAAGTGAGTAAATTTGCAGAATATGTTCCTGACATTGGCACTGGTTCTGTGGCATTTCTCTGATCAGATGGAAGTGCTGTGTGTTATGCAGAGTGCATTCAGTTCATTCATGCATAAACAATATCATTTTCATAAATTAAAACCTTCCCTGCAGAAGGAACATCTGTGCCTGCCTTTGAATAAAAGATGGTGGCATGTGAGTTACTCCTTGACTGACTGAAAGAATCCTTATGTTTTAGAAAAAAGTTAGACAACCAAAAAGGCAGGGGAGGGATGGCTGGGGGCAGGGGCCGGATCAAACCTAACTTGCAGTCTTCATTTTTACTTTATAAACAAACACCCACAAAATAGATTTCTCTACTTGCTGTTTTAAATTATTTCGATTCTTATAATGTCATTCTCTTATTCCTTTTGTTCACTATAGCAACGGTTTCTAGTTGGCATGAAGATGTCTAATTTTAATTACAGGTAAAATCGAGCTGCTGAATAGATCATAGTGTATAGATCTGAATGTTCACTTCATGGTCTCCTAAGCTGGGAGGATGGCACAGTTCAGATATCATACCATTATTGTGTCTCTTAAAGTAAGAGCAGAGAGAGCAATCTTGGATATGGGAAGCAACAGCTTGATTCCAAAACAACTCTGATTCACTTGGAATGAGATACTGCATTTTGAATAAGGTTAGGACTAACTTAAGAGCATTTCTGCCATGTGATGAAGGCTGATGGAAAACAATCTAAAATAATATATCATAAAGTGCACTCAAACGTTTTCTTAATGTTGAAACACTCCTTGCTGCTACTGTCACAGCTTGATGGACCCCCATTGGCAATGTTATTAGTAGGGCTAATTGTTCCTGTCCATTAGATTACTCACATTTTTCTGGAGCAGCTTGCTAAATGAGGTCAGCTTTCTGGAACCCCTAAATCACCAATGAGAAGGAGATTAAAGGAAGAAGCTTGGGAAGGGAGGTAGTCATCCAATGTGGCATCGGAACCAGAGGAGGAACAATGGAGTTACTAATGACAGTAATCAGAGCACCAGGGTAGAGCCAGAGCACAAGTGCCAAAATGTTATTCCCTAGGAATCTTTCCTGTCAGTCAATTCATCCAGAGGAACCAAAATGCCAAACTTTTTTTTTTTTTAGTGGACTTAACAATGGACAGAATCATCTGTAACTTTCTCCAGTGAATTTTGTTTATGAAAGAGCACAATAGTGCCCCAATTACACCTTCCAACAATATAGTACAACAAGTATGTTCTTCAGGAAAAGTAATTCATTACCTTTTTGTCTTGGAAAAAAATCTTGAAATCATCACAAGGTGTTTAAAGAACAATTACAAAATGCCACTTCTTGGGTCCTTTAAATTAATTACATAATTTCTTCCAGGCATTTTCTAAAGGTGTATAACTTTCTTTTGGGGATAGTACTGGTGACTATTAGAGAACATTTCCGCTCAGGAAAATATACAGGTAAGAAAGCACCAAGTAAATGGTAAAGTTTTTAAAAATATTTTTTAATATGTTGGCAAACTAAATAAACTAGGGTACTTGTTTGTATCTTGCTTGTTAGTAATTAACTAATTAACTAAATGCCCCTTTAAAAAATTGAAAACACATAACATAACAATTTAAAAGAATGAAAACCCAAAAACTAAATGTGAAGATGCTTAAAGCAAAGAAAAGCAAAAACAACTATATGTCTCTCCACAGCCTCCTCTCACTCCCCACCCCCCACGGCTTCACATTCCAAATAGTGAAATATCATGGAAATATCACAAATATTACGTAGGTCCTTTCCTTATCTACAAAGATCTGATGACTTCCTAAGCAAGATAACCAGACTGGAAAGTATGCTAAACTTTTATTTTTTTGTTTTATTGTTTAAATATTGCTTAGTACTTTCTTAACTCAGCAAATAAAGCAACTATTCCACTTAGGAATTACTTATACTAAAAATCACTTTGAAAAGAACTGCAGCAATTGCTCAGATTTTTAATACTATTTTATTGCAATTGAATGCATGTCTTCTAATTGTGCATTACACCATAATATACAGGATTACAAACAAGATTACAGTACAGATCGATTGCAGTGGAACCAGTATCACGTCTCAAACAGCACTTAGTCTGGACTGCATTTTACATGCAATAGCTATTGTCTAATGATGAATTAAATGGTTTGAATTTATTTAAGCTATGTACTAACTGACTACAATAGGTATAAATCCCAACATTAACAACCTGATTTGATTTAGGCTCAGATTCATTACATGAATATATGACAAACCACCATTTGTGTGACTATGTATGAAATCATGCATTATATTTCCTAGAAACATCAATAGCTTCGGATTCTCTGTAAAATTGTGGGATGCAAAGGAGTAAAAGACTAAAAAGAAACAGTGCAAATTGTATGTGATAGTCAAGCAGCTTTTGATTTAAAGAAGGGTATGTTGGCATTTGTTTATAATATGTATATAAAAGCTTGTGCAAGCAATGATTTAATATGTTTGATAGGGAATACATCACTTTTTTTTTCATCCTCTTGAGTATTGTGGATCTGGTTTTCATTTTAAAGAGAGGGAAAGACTTTAGAGTGAAATGGATTGCTCAAATTGTGCAATTTCTTTTTAACAATTAGAGAGGAAAGAAGTGCTAAGGCAACACAATAACTTTCTAAGCACTTTTCTGCTGGTTTAAATTAGTTAAATTATTTTGTATAAATTAGATATAATTCTACTTTTCTGATATGTATAAAAATTGATGAAGCTGCATGGTTTTTAAAATAGGAAATCCACATTATAAAAAGTCATTAAAAATTCTGTACAAAATCACAACAAAATAATTCAGCATGGGAAAGGTAACAAGTAGGAAAATGCTGGTTGAAAAATATATATTTATATATATATTAATTGGCCCACTTACTAGTTTAAAAATTGCATAGATCCTAATTATTGCTTGTGATTTTTGTTATCCCGATCAGATAATTAACATGATCTGAACTACAGCTACACCAAATTTGTGGTGCATTATTATTATTATTTACTTTACTGTACTACTTTTTTTTTTTTAATAGAAGAGCTATAGAAAATAATACATAAGGTGAACAGGAACTTTGATCCCCTGTTTCTCCCAAAGGCAGTAACGACAATAAATACATATATCACTTGGAGCTTGGAGTATTTGCACTTTGCAGCAGGAGTGCCCAAAGGGCTGCCTTTTTGTAAACACGACAACAGACAACAGTCACTGTCAGCACAGTGGGTTCGTATTCGGGAGGGGTGGTGAAGCTGACGCGCCTCTCTCTCTCTCTCTCTCTCTCTAATCGTGAAAGATGGCATTGAGCTGGGCACTCAAGACTCGCTCGTGATGATGCGAATGGCTATCGAAGGACATGATGTTGTCTATGGGGATCTCGCAGCGAGGGGCGGCGGAGCCCGAGAAGATGGATCCGTGGCTTTGGGCCCCTGCCAGGCTCGCCGCGGGGTAGTGCATGGTGAAGGCGTAATTTTTCTCAAACTCGGCGGACGGTTCGTGTTTGAAGGAGAAGTTGCCGTTGATGCTGAGCGGCGGGCTGAGGGGCCCGTCGAAGGAAGGGCTGGCGCAGTCGGTGAGGGGGCTTTCGAAGAAGGGCTCCAGCGCGGCGCTGTAGGCATGCGGCGGCGGCGGCGGCGGCGGCGGCTTGACGTGGAAGACATGGGAGCTGTCCATGGTGCCGTAGGGCGGGCTGGGCAGGCCCGGCGACTGGTAGGAGTAAGGGTGCACCGGGAAGGAAGCGCTGGCCGCGGGCAGGTGCGGGGGCATCTCCTGGCTCTGCTCCGGCAGAAAAGTCCGGGGGTTGAGCTGCAGGCAGCCCGCCACCAGGTTGGTGGTGGGTTGGGATAAGCCCTTGCAGAGCGTCTGCACGAAGGAGACCAGGTCCGGGCTTTTGCCGGAGCGCAGGATCTCCGACAGAGCCCAGATGTAGTTCTTGGCCAGGCGCAGCGTCTCGATCTTGGAGAGCTTCTGCGTCTTGGAGTAGCAGGGCACCACCTTGCGCAGGTTGTCCAGCGCCGCGTTCAGGCCGTGCATGCGGTTCCGCTCCCGCGCGTTGGCCTTCATGCGCCGCAGCTTGAACCGCTCCAGGCGCGCCTTGGTCATTTTCTTCTTTTTGGGGCCGCGCCTCTTGGGCTTTTGATCGTCGTCCTCCTCTTCCTCTTCCTCCTCCTCTTCCAGGTCCTCGTCCTCCTCCTCCTCCTCCTCTCCCCCGTTCCTCAGCGAGTCCTCTTCCGCGTTCATCGTTTCCAGGTCGTCCTCCTTCTTGTCCGCCTCGTGCTCCTCATCCTGAGAACTGAGACACTCGTCTGTCCAGCTCGGAGGGCCCTGGGGCTGCGGTTCGCCCATCAGCCCGCTCTCGCTGTACGATTTGGTCATGTTTCGGTTTCCTGCATTCAGTAAGGGAGAGGAGAAAAAAACAGAAAGAAAGGGGGGGGGGAGGAGGAAAAAAAACCCGCTACATTCAAAAACTTCATATGCCTTCAGCTCCCTCTTCCTAACCCTGTAAAAATGCATGGGAAATACAACTCATTACCAAATGAATGCCCCTGAGGAAACGTGAAATGCAGTCTTTTATAATGGCATGTGTGTGCCCCGCTGATACATAGGAGACGAGGCAGAGCAGGGGGTGGGGGAGAGAGAGACTACGTGGATATGGACACTCATGGGTGTGTGTTTCCTAGTGACCAACAACTTAAGTCTTTTTATGGCGATAACCTGGCAGGATAATACATGTGAAAACGAGTGTACATTTCCGTGACTTTGTGCTTATCTGCATGAGTTCAAAGTCACAACTACACACACACACACACACACACACACACACACGAAAGAGAGAGAGAGAGAGAGAGAGAGAGAGAGAGAGAGAGAGAGAGAGAGAGAGAGTGTTTTGAACCTCTCAGTGCTGTTCCCATCTCTGCCCTGGCTTCTCAGCACTCAGAGATTAAAGTTGGAGAGCCATTACATAATTTACCAGTGCTGTCAGTGATTTTTAAGAAGATTAGACTACGGGGAGATTGGAGAGCAAATGCATGGCAGACTAAAAGTACTTTCCACCAAATGATTTCACCATCAACAAAACATTGGGAGGTGGGGAGAAATAAAGTGGGCAGGGATCTCCCTTTCCACACTCGCCTTTCTCTCCTGGCCCTCCGCTGAAAATCCGCCTTGTACAAAAGCGCCTGGTTGGGGCTGGGGCTGGGGCTGGGGCTGGGGCGCGGGGAGGGCGCTCTCCCCAGCCTGGGGATCAGGTGCGGGCGGCTCCTGTCTAATAAACAGCCCATTGAAAAGGCTGCCCGCTCTTTATGGGGCCTTTTCGAAGTTCTCCTCAAACCTCTCTTTAAAAGATGGAGTCATTATCATGATCAGCAACCGGCCATGGCCAAGTTAGCGCTTTTAATAAGAGACAGAAAAAGCGTTTATCGTGAGACAACCGAATTTCTGGTTTCTGCAGTGGCTGTGGGGACTCGGCCGCCCCCGGAGCAGTAACAGGTAGTCAGAAGGAGTCCCGCTCCCTTTCTCCACATTTCCCCTCCTCTCAATTAAACTTTCTCTCCACTTGATTTGTTTTCCGGGGTGTGTATGCCCAAGGTACCCATGTCCCTTTCATTCGCCGAAAAAATAACTTGGCACTTCCAGCATGCAGTACATACATGCACACAAAATAAACCTTGGTAATAAGGGCGTATTTTTTTTTTCTTTCTTAGTGGAATAAGTAAGGAAGTCAAGTAGTGCATTGCTTTCAGGACTTTGAAATCACCATTAGCAGATGACCAGAGAGTTATTGGCATTATTAAAAATCCAAGGGTGCTTCTATTCTTCACCTCCTCTTACCCCCGACCCCCAATTAAAAAAAAAATTTTAATCAGAAAGCTTGCAGTAGGTATTTGAAATGTGTGTATAGGTGCCAGCAATCATGGGGAGGAATGCCTGTTTCAACACACACACACACACAGAGAGAGAGAGAGAGAGAGAGAGAGAGAGAGAGAGAGAGAGAGAGAGAGAGAGAGAGAGAGAGAGAGAGAGAGAGAGATACAGAATTTCTAGGGACATTAGATCTTCAGTTACTGCTTTCATTTTCAAGCAAAAACGAAAGGATTGTCATTACCTGTAGTTGTTAGTAGGTCCTGAGCGGTGATGGTCTCATAACCCTGGGGCCTCCGGACGTCGTGCCTTCTGCGCGGGACGAGTTCCTCGTGTCCCCGCCTCGCGGGCGCCCAGGTTATATAGCCGCCGAGGCGGCGATGCTGAGGGCGGGCGGGGCCGGGAGCGGAGCGCCAGCAGGTCCTGGCGCCCAGCCTGCGCATGCGTCGGGGCTGTGCGCTCCTCTCCGCCTCCCCCCCCCCAACCCCCCAACCCCCGCCCCTTCAGCCCTGCACCTCTCAGACCCTCCTCCTCCTCTCGCTCCAGCCTCCCGCAACCCTACCTCCGCCCCTTCTCCATCCTCCCCAGCACGCGCCATATGGTCCCTCCAGTCCGGCCAGGAGCCGGGAAGCACGTGACCTGCCATTTGTATGCCGCGGAGAGCTCCACTCCGGCCCCTTTGTGGCCCAAAGAAAGTGGCCCATCTGTCGCCCGTTAGAGGCTCCGTGGACCAGTTTTTACCCGCAGGAGAGGTTAACCCTTTCGGGCGGCAGAAGGGAGAGCCGCCGCTGGGGAAAGGGGTGGGGTGGGGGGACTTGAGGAGAGGAAGCGGGAAAGCTGACTGGGTTTAGATCCGAGGGGGAAGCCAGCCTCGGGGCGAGGAGTGAGGCGGAGGTGAGGGAGGCGGAGGCACGGAGTCCAGGGAGCGCAGGGCCGTGTCCTGCCTCCTTTCCATCACTGGCACAGGCACTGCCCTCCTGGGCACTCGGACCCCCTGTCCTCTCTGGGGGTGCCCATCTCTCGGCAGATGCTTTTCTCATTGGCGCCCAAGGGTGGCTTCTGCTAATCTCTTCCAGCCCCTTAAGCAAACGTAGGAGCCACACAGAAGGGCTTCCTCTGTCAAAGCAGCTCTGAGACGGCTCCTCCACCCCCCTGAACTGGATCGCCCGCTCCCAGCCCCTCGGAGAGTAACTCTGTACCTGTCATGCTACCCGACCCAGTGAGCCCTGACCTTCCAGTACCCTTGTCCCTGGAGACCCCTCACCAGGTCGGGCCACTCTGGGTCAGAGAGAGCTAGTCCATTTGCAGAGGCCCTGGCTGGCCCCATTGGCCTGGGAGCTCTCTCGCTGGAAAGCTGGGCGGTTTCTCTGAGGTAGATTCTGCTTTTAACCAAGGCCATTGGATTGCTGCCCTCAGCCATCCATCCCTGGGTCCTTGCCACAGGCGGCTCCATCCCCTTAATGCCCACTCTGTAAATAGGTATTTGGTTCAGAGGAGACTTCATGAGGGGAGGAGGCAGAGGGTCTGTGCCAACTGGGACTATCTGACTCTGCTTTAGAGAAAGGCCAGGAGCACAGCCAAAGGCCAGGACTCCTCCACACCCCAAGGACTCTGGCTTGATGTGACCCCCACCTTTAGGGTCATGCGAAGACCACACAGCTTCCCAACTGGTTTGGAAGGACCCATATGTGTGTTTCAATGGAGATTCTTTCATTATTCACTTGTTTCCAGAAAGGCGTGCTAGACCACGATACTTTTTTTTAAGTTGGCCTGAGCCCTTCCCTGTCCACAGCTTCACCTCTAATCCTCAGTTCACCCACCTCTTCCCCCCTCCCAGACCCAGTAGCCCCTTGCAAGGAACGCATGGAACTTGAACTGCTTATTTAAAGGCAACTGCTCTAAAAGCCTCTTGAGTTTGCAAATGGTGTCGGGTGGAGGGCTGGAGCTGGGTGCATCTGGGAGAGGTGTGAGGGGAGGGGAAGAGGGTCCCAAGGAGGTCGCTGGTGTCTGGGAAGTGGAGGTTGCATCTTCCCAGTCTGACACAGATCAGATGGGGGAATAAAGGGTGTGTGACTTGACCCCCTGCCCTAAGCATGAACTGTGCTGAGTTTTCAGAACAGACTGTACGGAGTTTTTACTTTTCTGGACCTCTCATTGGTGGACAAAGAGTGCAGAGGAGGATAAAAGAATTTAACCTGGTCTCAGTGTTTGCTCCTGTATCTTTAGTGATGGGCTAAAACTTGAGGGACAACAGAGTAACAACCTGCAGGACCGGCCCACACTCCGACCTCTGAGGGCAGGTGCGGCAAGTTCCGACCCCGTCCCACCACTCTCTCAGCTGCTGCCCCACCGCCTGGCCCACCTCAGTCCGGGTTGAGGGATTCACGTCCTGGCTCCCATTTCTCGTCTTGGGAAGGGATGAAAGCAGGCTCCAGCTGCCCCCAGACCCACGGGTGGCCTAGGGAGTTAACCCATTCTGCCCCACCCCTCCTCAGAAGAAGAAACTCCCTCTACACGAGAGAAGAGCAGGGAACTCTCAGTGGAGCTGGAAGTAAACCGTGTTTCACCCGCCCCGATCCTAACGCGCAAAGTGCGGGCATTATTATACTCATGCCCTCCCTCTCCTGATAAATTCATCCCTACCCCACTGCCCGTCGGGCCAGGGGATTTGTACAAAGAAAAGGCTACTCCTGGATGTTCCAGAAACCTGGCGACCTGCCTCCAAGCAGGGACTGTCTGTTTACCCCCACCCTCCACCCCCAACCCCCAACCCCCGCGCGTCTGCAGCCGGACCCTGGGGGGGCTGCAGCGGGCTGGTCAGTCCCCGAAGGGAGGCGTCCAGGAGTCCAGATTAGGCCTAAAGGGAGGTGCTTTTTGTTGGGGATTGGGGAGGGGGACCGGGGCCGGAGGTAGTGGAACTCGGGAGAGGACAGCTCGCCGCTGAGCCCTGCCCGGCCACCTTCTTCTCTTCCTTTGAACTTTGTTTGACGGTTGCACACTCCCCCTCCCATCCCCTAATTCTCTCGCTGTCCTCTGCCCCGCCGCCCATTAGCGGCCTCCCCTCTCCAGCCCGGCCCCCCGCCTGGCGCCGCGGGCGGCTGGGCGGCACGCGCACTGCACGCGCGGCCAACAAAGGTGCCTTCACGACTCACTGCCCGCGAGCAAAGCCCGACTCTGCGCCCGGCTCCCCGGGCCGCGGCCCGGTCCGGCCGTTAGAGCGGCAGCCGGAGAGCGGGGGGCGGGGGAGGGGGTTTGAAGAGGCGTGTGGCCTGGTCGGGGGAGGGGGGAGGAGGCGTGTGGCTGGTGGGGGCGCGGAGCGTGTGCCATGGCCTCGCAAGGCCCAGATAAAGAGTAGGGCTTGGCCGGCGTCCCCGGCGGTGACCTGTTTCTCTGGGAAGCAGATGCTTGCCTTTGCAAAGGGAAGTTTGCCTTCGGTGAAAGAAGCGAGTGTGGCCTGGGCTGCCCCAGGGGGGCCCGCTTCCTCTTCCAGCGCCCCCCCCTGGGGGAGGGGGTGCGGGGGCGGGTGTCCTGACCTGGGCCTGTCACTGGAGCGGGAGGTGGCTGAGGGGCGGCGGGAGACACCGAGGCCAATGGGGCTTGGAGCCTAAGGTCCTTCGCAGGCCCCGCAGCTCCCAGGCCGTGGGGAGGCAGGAGGAGGGTGCTGCAGGTGGCGTCCAGATCTAGGCCCTGCGCGCCCTGGTTGCGCCTCCGCCTGCAGCGAGGCCACGGGGAGCCCGGGACAGAGGCCAGAGAGGCCCGGCTTCCCAGGCAGTGGCTGGGGAGAGCCCTGAGCCAAAGAGAAGCTATTAAAATGCCTCGCCGTCGCCCCCAGCGAAAAACCCATCCTCTCCAAACCTCTTGGGCTTGCGGCATCATCTTAATTAATATAATTGATTCATATTGCACCTGCGAGAACAGAAAAAAATTGATTCCAACCCTCAACCCCACAAATCGCTTAGAGCTATTGGATGGAGCCCGATGCGGCTGTGATTTGGGGAGTGATTTAGTACTGCACTTCTCCAACTCCGTCTGCCTGGGCTCCTCCATCTATTATTTATGTCCTCGCAGTCCCGCTGGGGCCCGGTGGCGCCCCTCACGGCACCTCCAGGCCTCCGAGGGATTTGATCTTGGATCGGGTCAGGGATGGAGGGCCTTTCCTTAAACCATCCAGCGCGCCTGTCCACAATGTGAAAACGCAGCTCAGAGCGCTCACTTGATTGCCCATGGCCTCGTGCATAGGATGGGCCGTGTGTGTGACTGAGTGTGCTAAAGTGTGCAAGCGAGTGTGAATTTAAGAGGGACGTATAGGCGTGAGATTGGGTGTGAACGGGAGTGTGCTAGTATATGAGTGTATGAGTGTGTGTGTGTTAATGTGTATGAAATGTATACAGGATTTGTGTGGATGAGTGTGTGGATTATGTGAGTGTGTGGATTGTGTGAGTGTGTGTGAGTGTGCATGAGTGAGTGCATGTGTTCTTGGGAGCTCCTGCTCTCAAGTGAGGAGCCCATACAGAGGACGTGCCCCTATTTTCTCCCGGATTGAAGAACAGTTTGCGGTCCAAATGGGGACCAAAGGGCCAGGTAACTGATAAGCGTCCTTGTGTGTGTGCCAGTCTTTGCCTTAGAAGGCAACAAACACACATCCAGGGTAGCTGGGTGCAGCTGCGGGTATGGAGAGCAGAGGCGCACACCCACAGCACCTGGGCATCCCTGGAACAATGCTGCTGCAGTGAGCTGGGGGAGGAGATCCGCCAAGTTCCTAATGGCCTGAGATGCCAAGGAAGCCAGGTTTAGAGCCCCAGGCAGCATAGGGGAAATGGCTTCTCTAGGAATCAGCACCTTGGACAGCCCCCCCTTCTCTAGCCCAGATATTCGCAGTAGTAAGCTTCAGCGAAGCCACGCCCCTTCCAGCAGCGTTTGCCTTTTCCTGTTTGCCTTCTTCCTCAAAATGACTGAGCACCAAGTGGAACTTTTAATCAGAGAGCTCCGTAAATCTGCAATTAGCCACCTTCATTTTTCAGAATAAGTTTCCTGGAAAGGTAGGTATCCACGTTCAGGGGTGAGGGAAGGGCTTAAACTATAATTTGAGCTAAAAGAAATGATTATAACTTTCAGAGAGAGAATAACTCTTCTAATATTCGCATGTATTTGCCACACAAAAACCATAACGGACTCTTTTTGCTGTGCACAGAAATAATAAAAAGATTTAAACATGTTTTTGATATTGCTTTTGTTTTATGGAACACAGGGTTTTATTGATAAATATTTTTTTCTATCAGCATCATTATATCAACTCTCCAGTTATTACATATTACAAACAACATCTATTAAATCGATGGGGGAAATAAACCAGCTAAAGTTAAATGGCATCATCTACTCAGATTTAGTGAGCCAC